TACTGATGAGGGTCCTCGTTGATGTTGATGGTTGTTTTGATGTGAGTCATGACCAGTTTTTCGAAGCATTTAGCGACTATCGGGGTGAGGGCCACTGGCCGATAGTCATTCAGACCAGTCACTGTAGAGCTTTTTGGGACTGGGATGATGGTGGCAGTCTTCAGGCAGGTGGGAACTGTCTCCAGGGTAAGTGAGGTGTTAAAGATGTCTGCCAGCACCTCACAGAGCTGATCAGCACATTCCTTCAACACTTTTCCGGGGATGTTGTCTGGGCCAGTTGCTTTGTGCGGATTAATCCTCCTGAAGGTACTCCTTACTTCTGCTGAGGTCACGCTGAGATGCTCTTCATCCGGTGGCGAGGTGAGTCTGGTGCTGGGTGGTCTGTTCGGGTCTTCAAAGCGTGCATAGAACTTGTTGAGGGCATCAGGCAGAGATGGGTCTTTGGGACATTGTTCGCTCCTTCCTTTATAATCTGTTATGCACTTAATGCCCCTCCACATGCTCCGAGGGTCTTGTGAGATGAATTGACCCTCGATCCTCTTTGCATATGCGGCCTTGGCCCTCTTAATACCAGCAACCAGCTCTTTTCTTGTCCTACTCAGCTCCTCTGAGTTTCCAGACCAGACTTGTAGACCAGATAGCCAAGGAGAAATCCTACACAAAACAGGCTCTAGAGCAATGTGGATATCCTAACTGGGCCTTCCTGAAAGCAGAGAAGAAACCCAAACAGGACTCCAGTCAGCCATCAGGTGAAAAGGAGGAACCCAGACACCCTTTTACTAAAAGAAGCAGTAGGTAAGGTTTTCTTTTAGAGAAGCATGGTTTTAAATAAATATCCTGATGCATGCTCAATAATCCAGGTAGAAAAATCCAAAAAAGTTCAATCTGGTCCTCTGGACATAAAAAAAAAAACAAAAACAAAACAAAGCAAAAAAATCTAGAAACGTTTCGTCTCTCATAGCATACTATGCTTGCAGACACAAACACACAGTCACTCACTCCGAGGCACTTTCCCCAAATTTGGAAACTGAAGATTTAAAATGTTTAAATTCAGTTTGACCTGAATTCTGTGTTTATATTCCAGTACAACAAATTACCGGTGTCGTTTTTATATAATGAATTCAACATGAAAAAAATGGCACGTTACAGTTTTGTTTTAAACATGATAGGGAATGTGGAACCCTTTTACTAAAACAAGCAGTAGGTAAGGTTTTCTTTTAGAGAAGCATGGTTTTAAATAAATATCCTGATGCATGCTCAATAATCCAGGTAGAAAAATCCAAAAAAGTTCAATCTGGTCCTCTGGACATTCAAAAAAAACCAAAAACAAAACAAAGCAAAAAAATCTAGAAACGTTTCGTCTCTCATCCAAGAGACTTCCTCAGTCTGAGGTGCTGTATTCAGCTCAGTCTCTTAAATAGCACCTTCTCAGAGTGGATCAACCAGTTTTGCTGCTGACAACCAAAACCAGCTGATCACATGCTCAAGAAGGACCATCAGCCTAACAATGGATCATTAGCACACTGATGGCTGTTTACTATTCACAGAGGGCTGAGTGATACTAGCAATCACAGCATTGTAAGAGGGGGACAGTTGAACCCGGAGGCCTCCACCCCTGTTTAACGATGGACGATTTCTTTTCACAAAGATGGCCTCCTTTACTCCTCTCTCAAACCATCGTTCCTCTCTGTCCAGGATGTGAACATCTTCATCCTTGAAAGAGTGACCGCTGGCCTGGAGATGAGTGTAGACCGCAGAATCCTGGCCTGATGATGTTGATCTTCTGTGCTGGGCCATCCTTTTGGCCAGTGGCTGTTTAGTTTCCCCGATGTAAGACTGATCACAGCCCTCCTGACACTGAACAGCATACACAACATTACTCTGTTTGTGCCGGGGGACTGGATCTTTGGGATGAACCAGTCTTTGCCGTAATGTATTTTGGGGTTTAAAAGCCACTGGGACGTTATGTTTAGAAAATAAACGTCTCAGTTTCTCTGATACCCCCTCAACATATGGAATGACCACTGGTCTGGGTCTGGGTTCCTCCTTTTCACCTGTTGGCTGACTGGAGTCCTGTTTGGGTTTCTTCTCTGCTTTTAGGAAGGCCCAGTTAGGATATCCACATTGCTCTAGAGCCTGT